TATCTCTTTATTCTATAAGGAAGTGTCTTTAATATACAAGAGATGGCGCCTGTCATCAATTCCGATTCTTTATTTTATCTCTTTATTCTATAAGGAAGTGTCTTTAATATACAAGAGATGGCGCCTATCATCAATTCCTATTCTTCTTTATTTTATCCCTTTATTCTATAAGGAAGTGTCTTTGATATACAAGAGATGGCGCCTGTCATCAATTCCGATCCTTTATTTTATCTCTTTATTCTATAAGGAAGTGTCTTTAATATACAAGAGATGGCGCCTGTCATCAATTCCTATTCTTTATTTTATCTCTTTATTCTATAAGGAAGTGCCTTTAATATATAAGAGATGGCGTTAGCGGTTAATTCTGCTCCATAAAACTGCGTGATAGTCCTGCGTACTGGTTCTGCGCATGTACGTAGTTCTAAAAGTACGTTCAGCAATTTGGAGGGAAATCTGTGGTAGTCGTAGATTAATTTATTGCGTATCTTTACAAATTTTGTGTAAATTATCAGTTATTTGTGCAAAATGGAGCCTTTATTTCAATTACATATTAAGGATATCGATATTTTGCTTATAAATACAAAGGAGAGATTGATGTTAGGCGATGAATATTCTCAGGTATGTATAATTCTCAAAATTCTCATAATTTTCGATTTGTAACGAAACATCAAAGTTCGTTATTCATATTCACATGTTGCAAAGGTTTCTAAGTGTACCTTTTTAGTTAAAATCTGAATATATTATAAACTTACATTGGATCATATATCATAACCATTATTACATAGTAATAGTATAATTATAATCTAAAAAGAAATTGTATAGATCAAATGCATCGATCGAATATCCAACTTATTCAAAAATGGTGACGTTGTGAAGAAAGAGGCAGCTCTTTCAAAGTTAATCAAGTTCGACATACTTTCGATTATATTTGAAATTTTACAAACCTCCAGTGATCGTTTACTTCCGTACGTTTCATATAAAATATTTAATACGAAACAAATCAGTAATTTTTTTTAAATCTTTTATTATATCTTAATAGATGTATTCTTGATTTTTTGGATTTGGTATTAATATATCGAAAGTTTTACGAAAGTCACGTAGCCACAGATGCCTTGGATTCCATTTTGAAAATTACAGTTTGCATTCTAAAATCTCGTTGTAAAGAAACTCAAATATTAGAGAAGCTTATTTCAACTATTTATGATATACTTTATAGGTGAATATTTAAGAAAATATTATTTAGTAACTTTGTAAAAAAGCATATTATTATATATATTATAAACTGTAATAAATTATAGAGCAGTAGAGTTCAATATAGATTTCAACGTAGTTTGTGTACCAAGACAAGTACTAATTGTTCTAAAATCATTGATTTTGGAAAATCTTTGGGATCAAAAGATAAAATTTTCTTCCATTGTGTTATTGAATCTCGTTCTTGAAAACGTTGATGCTGAAGACGAATGGGATGACGGTGTATATGAAATGTGTCACAAAGCTTTCAATTTAATGAAAGAAATCGTCGAATATAGCGACGATGATGTCTCAGTCTCGTATGCTGCGAATGCATTGTGTGCTGTTTGTTCCTCTTCTACACGGTGAGATTATATATTATATACATACATTCGAATAGCTAGAGTTTCATAACTAAAAGTTTACGAGTTTCCTAATGTTAATTTTAGTCTTTTATCGAGAAAAACACTTCAATTGTAATCGCAATTTATATAGCATAATTTAAAATATTTAAATATTTATTAGGTATTAAATTTTCCATACATAAAACATTGATTTCTTGTTTAAATATGTACTTTGGAAATTCATTCAGATACATTAAAAAATTTGAATAATCATGAATTAATATTTATTTTATTTAATTTTGATAATTTATAAATATTATATATTTGTATAATTTAAAAACATTTGGATGTTTGTCAAAAATTAAACTTTATAAATGTGAAATATTAATTCATTGTTCAAATGTTCTCTAATTATAATTTAAATACTTAGATACTTAGTTACTTAGTTATAATTAGATATTTAGATATTTAGTTCATCTCAATTAGAATCACAAATAATAACATACTTTGTTTTAATTCCAATAACATTTCTGGGTAATTTTTAGCAAATTTCTGTATGAAATAAAAATATTTCTGTAGAAATATTTGAATAATCATTAGACATTCCTTATTTTTTACTTACAAACATTAAATATTTCTATAACAATAATAAAATTTAAATATTTGTCGAGACTTATAATCTGTAAATATCTAATATATAAAAAATAGTTAAAAAATATAAGAAAATAATTTTTTTTAAATGTAATTAAAATAATTTTAATTATTTATTAAGAAATACTATTTAATTGATTATGAAACTAAGAAATGAATAACTCAAATAATTCTAGTATTAAATTATAATTATATATTTTATTAACATAAAAGTTTATTTTTTTTCAGGTTATGCATCATGGAAGACGACAATCGAGGATTCTTCGATAAAGTCTCGAAGTTCAAATCCACTCTGACAAAGACGATCCGCATAGTAACGATGAACACGTTGATACCTTACATTAAAGTAAGTTCAAACATTCTTAATAAATTCGATACGACACATATTTAATTACAACGAATATGAAAAGACCCTTTTCATTCCCATTTTGCAGAATACAGAATCAAACGAAACGGACAGGGTTAAATTCCATAAGAATCTTGTGACTTGTCTGAACAACCTTTACAAGCTGAGCAGTCGCTGTGGTCGCGACAACTTGTCAAACCACTTGACCGCCAACGGATATCTGAAGTACTTCTTGCTGTTAACTATCAGACTTCCGTAAGTTTCGACGACAATCCACTTGTTCGATGATGCGATTAAATTGCTCAAGTGATTCCATCATGATTGTTACTTGTATTTGAAGTTGTAGCTAGTAGTCGTATGATTAGAAAAAAGAAAAAACTTTGAAACGTTTGAAAGTAATTTAATTTCATCTTATAAGTCTTGCACTGTCTATGGACAGGAAAATTCATATTTTTTTAATAACGGAATTCGTTTTCTCTCACAACGCGTGACAGCTCCAATTTATAAATGTGTTTTTCTACATTTTCGCTTTGCTTCACATCTTTGGTTCATTTATTTATTTTCTTTTTGTTTATTTGTTATTTATACATCAGGTTTTCCCAAAACAATGAGCATAGGAATTTTTTATCACTCAAATCAAAGAGCTATTTTAATATTAAAAAAAAGATTGCTTGTGAAAAAAATAATATAATTAATATAATAATAAATAATAATAAAATCTCTTAAACTTCGTTATTAATAGAAATGATTCAAAAGAATAAAATATCGAACTTTTTAGATTTGAGAAAAATTGAAGTATAGCAAAAGTTTCATTGTGTCATGAGAAATAGTTACTTTATTGAAGATTTCTGCTATTACAACTTTTATATTATTTAGAAATCTTTTCATTTCAATTCAATCTTCTTTTTTTTTATTATTATTATTTAGATATTTATTTATTTATTATTATTATTATTTTAGAGAAATCTTACGACGTAGTACATGCATGCTATTATCACGGATTATAATCACTTTAGCCGATAAATCCATGCCAATTATTCAATCCACAAGTCGAGAAATAAGCTTTGAAAATTTGGTGCATCAAGGATTATTGGACCTTCCAAAAGATCCCGAACAATGGATGAACATCATAGCTCATCATCAAGGGAATAGCGCGACTGCCTTAATGACTCTAATTTACTATCACTTCCATGGAACCAGAGAGTATAAAATTATTTATATTCGAATCAAGATCAATAATTTTTTCTTAACACTATTATATTTTGAAATATCATATTATATAGAACCGATATGATATGCTTGAAATCACTGATAGAAAGGATCGTTAATCTTCCTAAATCCGAGCAGACACCGGCTCAAATTTTGAAAATTTTATGGTTTCTGTTCGCTGTTGCGTCCGTATCGCATCCATCGCCGAGATTGGAACAGGATTACGACAAAGCTGTGAAACGATTGGCAGCTGCGTTACAATATTCCAAGTTGAACGATTGTTACACTCATCACATAGATTTGATGCATTATTGTCTGAATTGCCACGAATTCCCCAAGGATCTGCGAAACCGAGCGATGGATCTGTGGTTGATCGAATCTGATGGTGATATCAAACCATTGTTAACTCTGGATTGTGCAAAAGTTGTACAACATTATTTATTGGTAAATTTGCATATGCTTGAAAGCTTCGAGGAAATTGTAAGACTAGATAAAATGATCTAATGAAAGTTCTTTTGGAAAAAAGCTTGTTATACAAACGGGATACTCGGATAAGATAATCAATCTTGCGATGAAGGGGATTAGAGAGATGATACGTGTGGATAATTGCAAGGAAATTGCGGAGATTACCTGGCACATATTGCCTAATCTTCTTTCATCTTATCAACCATCGAAAGGTATTCTTTTATATAGATTGAAATTTTTATAACACAAATATTTTAAATGTCACATTTTATAGATTTTACTTTTATTTTTTTTATATTAAAATTTTTACATTTATATTTAAATTTTTTATAAATACGTAAACATCCATAGTCTCAATAGAAAAAATATATATATGAAAAATATGACATAAAATTAATTGGAAATTGTTTGATGTTGTTCTTTGAATGTTTAGTCTAGCGAATCAATAGAAATGTATGAATAAATTAGAAATTTCATTGAAATATTATAATTGACTTTCAAATCATTAATTTTTTATACATAATATTTAATGAATTTTATTAATTAATTAATAAATTTTTCTAAATGTTATGTTTTAAATATTCTTCAATTTGCATTAAACCTTTTTTTAAACTAAAAATTTTCAACAGACGAGCAAATAAAAGCGGTATTAGAGCTGACCAATGTGTCAATTCCGGATTCCTTATCACCGAGCATCAGGAACAGGTGCGCGGACAATCTTATATCCATCTTCCTACATCAAGAAGGGGACTTGAAGCTGAGGACACTAGTAATAATGCAGTCGTACGCGTTGCTGGTCACGTCCATGACGGTCAAACCGTTCACGAGTACATATTTCAGCGAGATGTTCGCTCGATAAATAGTAAAAAAGAAACAATTTCACTCTTCTTCATCCTTCCTTTTTTTTCACAGTTCTAGACAAGTATTGCATGGCATCGAGATTCTTGGAAGAGTTGCTCGCGCAAGGTTTCTCGATCGAAACGCCTGAATTATCCGCTGTCTGCTTGAAACTCCTCGCGTATATTGTACACTGTCAAGAAAAATCGTCGATCCAGGTAGAGGAATACCCATGTTGGTAAATAATAGATCCGTGTTATCGATCAACCATCAATCGAACGTGTTTTCCAGCGTGGTAAGCCGGTGACGATTGACGTGCAGAGCTTAGCCGATTTGCTGTTAAATACGAGGAGCTACGTCCACTCGTCGATCAATGGAATGCAACTCACGCTGGAACTTTTAACTCAAAATATTGACGGATCACCTGTCAGACTGAACGAGATCCCTGACGATCGAGCGGAGGGTTTGATCAATCTCTATGAGATCCTTCATACCGTTCATGAAAGAGTTAGTGCTTATATTCCAATCGAATAATTGGCTCTAAATATAGTTCTTGAAAGATTTATATATATTTAATAAATTCGTTTTAATCCTAAAAAGTAGATTGGTTCAGTTTAAGAGAGAAATATATATTTTATAATTTAAGATTAACATGCTATTAATATTTTATGATTTTTTTATTCAAGTGTGAGCCAACTCAAAGAGATATTGTGTACCAATGTCTCCAAGGTGTCTTGAAATTCTGCCACGTGAACGTCGAGTCTCTGATGTATCATATGTGCACATTGATGAGCAACTATGATATCGTATCTTCTATCCTGGAGACGTGCCACGTAAGCTATCACTTTCTCGAGTTCGTTTCAACCTGGCTCCGCTATCGAAAAAGATATTGCAACGACGAAGGACCGTGGAACGCGAGATCACTTTGCAAGACTCCGTTCGAGGAAACTTTGGATCAGATCAAGAGCTACGTTGATATGGTAAAAAATTTGAGAACCGATACAGCGTTTTATAATCTTCTCTACGCGGTGAGTCTCTCATTCTCATAAATATCTTCTCATCTATTATCATTTACTATTTATTTTCTTATCATTTTTTGTAAAAATAATACGTTATTTCTAGTTATCGCAATATAAGGAATATTTGGGAGAAACGTGAATGAAATATACAGCCTTGAGAAGCTTTGCTTTAACAGTTTATTCGATCCGTGCAACATTGCTCGATAACATCGTTAACATGTTAAATACGTGCGTACAAAAAGTAGAAAAAGATCAATCATGGACGAATTTAATCCGTCCCGGCTTAACTGTTTAACGCGTGCGTTTCAGCGTGATCCTGAAATATAATGTATCCATAGTTTGTTGTGTATGCTAAATAGCTTGATTGCTCTCCTCGCTCTAAATGCCCCGGCCGGATAGTGTGTATTAAAAATTGTCATATTATTATTTATTATTATTATTCGAGAACTGGTCGGACACGATTTGTGCGGTGCGTCTTTCGCTTGGAATCCGTGTTCGCCGCCTTTCGCAGTCGCCTCTGCCGTGCTCGGCGTTTCTTTTTCCGATTTCTTTTCGTGATGGCAGGTTTTTGTTATTTTCGCGGGCGAGCATTGCGCTGCATGAAACAACCCTTGAAAGAGTTCAATCTCACGTCGATCTCACCTTCTTCTAGCTGCAATCAAACGCTCGAACTTGAAATATTTTACGTAAATATTTAAAAAAAAAATGAGAGAGTTTAAGAGCAATTAATGAGGGAGTAGTACCTGATCGAACAAGTAGATTTCTTTGTAACAGGACGGTGACACGCATTCGCGAATGCATCTTGTTTTGGCGATGTCGCTTCTTTCCGGTGATAAGATCTTGCAAGCGCCGCTTTCTTCGCAAGCCTGCTCGAATTGCCTGAAGAGAAGTTCCTGCGGGCAACATTTTGTTATAAAAATATCAGGACTAAATTCAAATCCACTCCGTTCGATTGATACCGAGTTGAAGAGTCTCTTAGCACGCGATGGAAAATGTGAATATAGCTAACTGTATGCTTCTAGCAAACAATAACGGGATAAAATTGAGCGTAACAATTGGTTCGTGCGTGTTCAAAGATTAACCCCAATTAGAGCTCGTAAGAGTTCTATTATTGATGCTGTTGGCGCATTTAATTTTCTTTAAAGATAGTTTCCTTTCTTTTTGTATGGACAATACACTGATACAAATACTGATACAAATATTGATACTAATACTGATACTATTTTTATTTTACTGTGAAGTAAAAGACAATAGAGAAGTTGAATTCACAAGAACCGTATTTTTATCGAAGACGATTTTTTTCTCGAAGCAAACTTGATTACAGTTTCTCGAAATGGCAAAGATATATCAGCACCAGTGATAAAATCGAAGTACGCCTCGAGCACTTTGACTGTTCGAGTTAATGCCAAATCGATTTTACCCCCATGGCGAAATCGCGAAATCACCCGTCGCCTCGTTACGTCCCCCATGGGGATGCTGGATCCACGATGCGAAGCAATCCTCGAGTATCACGCATCACTGACAAGATATCACTGTGAGAGGTCTCTCGATAATTTTAACTCGTGGAATCCTACGCAACTTCCTACATGGTAATCATTTAATTACACAACTAATAACTATCTTCATCCGAAACAAATATAAAATAATTTCTTTAAACATATAAAATATAAATAAAATATAAAAAAAGTAGAAAAGAAACAAACGATAATAAGAAATTCTTTTCTAATATTTCTATCGTAATCACCGTAGGTTCCCTGCCAATGCTGAATTTAATACAGTTGCCAGACGAGGCCGGTGCGGCAAAAAGCGCCACCCCCCAAAACACAAGGCATCGACCATAACCTGTACACAAGATGGAAACGCGGCCCTCGCGAGGATTCTCGCCAAACTGGTTTGGACGACTTACATTCTTGGTAGTCTCCTTGTACGGATATTCAGGGAAGGTGAAGGTCTTGGCGAGGGTGCCTGGCCCTTCCTTCAGCTGTCCGACGACGAGGATCAG